CCCTATAGCCCCTAGATGGAGAATTCTTAATCTATTATGATTATCACTAAACAAAGGGGAAACTATTCACTTGTGATTCTATTTTTATTTTATGGTAACCAAAAAAGTGAGTTTTTTAAAAATATTTTTTAGTTGTTAATGGACCTTTATTTTATTTATGTGTAGTGCTGAGAATTGAACCCAGTGCCTCATACATGCTAGGTAAGCACTCAACTACTGAGCCACAACCCTAGCCCAAGGAGTGAGATTTTTTAAAATTAAAATTTTAGTGGACTATTAATTCAAAGAACATACACATTTTTATTTAATTAAATAATCACCTTCACTTTCTACCACTAGTAGAAAGAAGAATCACTACTTTTATAGAAAGCAATGGTCTCTGAGATAAGCTTCAACCCCAAATCAATATGGTAATGGAGTTAAACTATATACGATCTTGCTTGTGCTGCAGTTATTAAGACAATCGCTTATTTTTATCTTTTGTTCTGCTAATGGGATATGTTACATTGTTTGATTTTCATATGTTGAAAATGTAGTTAAATATAGCAATAGCTAGTACCACCTTGGTCAGGCTTCAATCTCACTTATAAGTTACCATGAGATCCAACTATGGAACTTCTTTCTATTTAAGAAAACAAAAGATTCCTCAATATTTTAATGAATATTGTTTAATTGTCTGATGAATATTGTTTAATATTGTTTAACTTGTTTGGTTCTTATTAGCATCTCAGATAAGTTCCAAGATGCTGTGGATTTTTACATAGCTGTATGAGAATGCTCTTGGCTCATCATTCTTCTAGCATATGTATCTAATATCTTTGATGCTAAAGGAAACAGTGACTCTATCTCTACCTGCACAGACTGTCACAGAAATTTAAACAGTCCCCTAGGCAGCCCTCCTTTTCTTCTTTAATAATGACTTCACAGGTGTATGTTTACATCTAGGTCTCCATCCCACAAGTCAGTTTGATCTCCAGGTTTCCACTCCAGTTGTAAATTACTCTTTCTGCCAACTGCTGTTAGCATCAGATGGTGACTGGAAATTGTCCTCACTCTCTCATCCACTAAGCATTAGGTGCAGAAATCATACATTTTCCTGGCCTTATTGTAACAGGATGAACTGCATGCCTTGCTAGGGATGTTTCAATTACATTTCCTTTGTGACTTATCAGAAAAATGAAATTCACTTATCTTTCGTGATGCATCTATAGAGATTTGAAACCTGTTCATGAAATATTCTGAACAGTTACACATAATAAACTATCAGAATGCTATAATGTGTCTGCTCACAGACCTTCCTCTCAGGAATATTTCATTTGTAAAAGCAAAGTCTTATTCTTCTGCAAGGTATAAAAATGTCCCCGTACATATCTTTGAATAATGAAGTTTGTCAAATAATGTTTATGACACAGAAACCGCAGAAAAATAAGTTACTTGACACTTCTTTGTGGCTCCCTATATAAACAATATGATAAAAAGCAGTGACTTTTCTAACATACAAAAGATAACTTTACAAATTAGAGAAAACGATGAGTGTAATGGCTCGGTTCTGTTGTTTGCTGTATCAGCTATCTAATGCTTTCATTGCAGACCTGTGTAAAGAGATGACAGGAAAGGTAACTAATCTGAATGAGAGCTGTTGGAGATTAACAGTTTATTTATATATAAATCGTCCTATGTTTATTCTTCAATTTTCACTGGATCTTAATTGTTTTCAGTTTCCTACTTCTTGTTCTTTTTCTGGTTTCTTCAGGTGGAAGTTGGGGGCAATTATATGAGACATTTCTTCTTTGATAAAATCAATTTTGACTTATTCTGCTTTTAGTCTCATACAGTTTAAAATAATTGTGAATTTTTTTCCTTAAGTAATCACAAATTTTAAACATTGACCCAGGTGGTTAGCTTCTTATTCTCTTTATTCTTTTGTGCAGCTCTTGTTTCTTTTCTGCTTTTCTTTTTTTTCCAGCCACGTTTAAAGGACTTGCTTGAAAGATTTGTTGTAACGTTACCTTTAGGATAGGTCAGATGGTAGCCAATTCGTTCAGAATTTATATGTCTGGAAATATCTTTATATTGCTATAATTTTTCCAAAGATATTTGGTTAGCTATTAACCCAGAATGAGCCAACCTACCTACCTACCTT